TTCCTTCCTTCCTTCCTTCCTTCCTTCCTTCCTTCCTTCCTTCCTTCTTCCTTTTATTCTGAGACAGAGTCTCTCATTGGCTTGGAACTCACTGATTACTCAAGGTTCACTGGTCACTGAGCCCCGAGGATCTGCTTGTCTCTATCTCCCCAGCACTGCAGATTACGAGATCTGCCTCAGTGAGTTCCAGTCACCCCTGGAACTGTGTAGGACCAGCCCATAGAGGGAATACTTTGGTGGCCCAGCAGAACGGCAGAACAGCCTATGATGGTCATGCACGCCCTCTCCTTCCTTTGCACCCAGGGCTGTGCAATAATTGGTCCAGAAGCTTGTCACACCCACCCTGGCTGTGTAACTAATTCGTTTCTTTTTGGAGCCAGCTGGCGGACACTGACCTCCACTGCTCTGTCCTCTCATTTTGCAACATCAGGTCCAATTAAAAAAAAAAAAAGGCTCCTCATGCAGGGCGTGGTGGTGCACACCTTTAATCCCAGCACTTTCAAGGCAGAGGCAGACAGATCTCTGAGTTCAAGGCCAGCTTGGTCTACAGAGCAAGTCCCTGGACAGCCAGGGCTATACAGAGACATCATCTTACAGGGTGGGGTGTGGAAGGCCTCTCTCAGGTGACCGTGTCTTTGGGCTGAGCAGGTAAGACAGGAGGCAGGTGTGTGTGTGTGTGGGGGTGGGGGGTGGGGAGGGATGCAGCAGTATTGACAAGAGTGCTCATAGCAGCCCTGGGAAGACGGCTGAAGAGTTCTAGAGTGTCCAGATTGGGACACTGGTGACATTGGACCTTATGAAGACAAAAGGTGAGAGGCTGCCAGCCTTGGTTGCCAGATGAGTTCCAGGGAGCTGCCAAACCTTAACTTCAGACACTGTAAGCACGACAGCTATAGCTGCCATGCTCCTGTCGTGGGCTGAAGGCCCCTAACCCAAAGCACATTCCGGAATGGTAACACTGGCACCTGCTGTCTGCTGCTGCTCACAGCTGTTCAGCGCCAAGGACTACAGCAGTTGCCAAATGCCAGGGTTAAAGCTCAGAGCCATGAGCCTCGAACCTGAGAGCCTTAAGCCAGAAAACCCAGGGTAGTGGGTCCTCAGCTTTCAGGCCTTGGAGTTGTGAGCACCTCTCTCTGCCAGTCTAGTCTCTGGGCTTTGGGGACTCAGGGGCCAGGCTGCCAGGGTTGCAAGAGTTGCTTGCCCACTCACCCCCCAGGCTATTTCTAATCCTTCAGGCCTGGCTTCTGACGGGAGCAGGTTAGGAGGCCTAGCAGTTTCTCGGGCAGTCCTGGAGTTTGCAGACAGAGCTGGGTGAGGCTAGGCACTCTGGGATGAACAGCGGAGGCTGTGTGCACCAAGGTTTCCACACTGCCTGATACTGCAGACAGCATCCATCTTGCCTGCCCTGTGGATGTGGAAACTGAGGCCTAAGGAGGCAGGGCATTTACTCAAGGTCTTCTTTCTTCAAAAGTCACCTGTTGTCTACTGGGAGGGCTCAGGCTCTGGCCCTTCCAAATACTGAAGCCCAAAATATGCAGTTTGGGTAGTTCAAATGTCCAGAAACATCTTAGGCCCAGTTGGAGGCTTGGAGCATGTACTAGCCATTCACAGTACCTCTCTGTCCCTTTTACCCCAGAACCAGAGTTAAGTGACTCGGGATCACCAGATGCCAGAGACACTGTACAAATCAGAATGGAGGCCAGTCAGCTCTGGACCATGTTGCCTCTTAAAGTCACCCTAAGACTGCGTCAACATTAAATTCCCACCAGGGACAGTCTGAGAATCTACTTACGGGCACAGTTGCTGTGTTTCTCTGCGCAGGAATGTTGGAAGCGCCAGTACTGTGGCCTTGTGGCACAGAGAGGTCCCATGTGCCTGAGGATGGCTAAGGGCTTGTGGGAGCCTCTCCTGAGCATTGTGGCTCTGAGCATGGTAGGGTGGTGACCCACTGTCTGCCGTTGTTTTGGTCAGGGCCACCTCGGAGTTGGGTGTATGTCTGTCTTTTTGAGGAACTCATTAAAACCTATGAACTGAGTGGTTAAATTTCAACTCTGCCTGTCCCAGCTCAGGAGTGGGTGACTGGGGACCAGTGGCCTTGGTTGGGGACAGGCCACTCCAGTCACTGCTTTGGTCTGGTAAACAGCTGAGCAAGCCTGCCAGAGAGTTAAACTTGACACAGATCCCCCGAGAGCAGCAGGAAAGGATGTGAAGAAGGATGGGTGAGGGCAAAGTCCCTGTCCCCTGTGGTATTGACCCTGTGCTGGGGACATGGAGGGCAGGCACAGAGCTGTCACACGAGAAGACAGAAGAGGGCAGATTCAAGAGCATAAGGAGGACAGAAGCCACACTGCCCTGACTCAGTGGGGCTATGACTGGATGTTCCCATTGCTGAGGGCAGCTGGAGGTCCCTTGAACCCATCACCCCAACTGAGACACAACTTGATCCCAATGTATTCCTCTGAGGTAGGATGCCCTGGGTCCTGCCCAGAGGTCTGTCACCGATGCCAACAGTGTCCTTTTCATGCATGAAGGTCCACATAGGGACAGTGTCTATTTGATGGCCCTGGCCATGACAGTGGAGCAGCTATCTGTCTGTCCATCCTCCAATACTCTTTTCCAAAGGAGGCCACAGGGATGGGAAGGCATGCGTGTAAGATCTTCCATTACTGCTGCTGGTTTAAGACTAGAGTCTGTGGAAGTTTGAGAGTCTGATGTCACAGATGACAGACCTTACATCCACAAAGTGTAGATGACTGGGATGAAGGGTGAATGAACTGTGGGCCCCAGAGATGGAGGGAGGGAAGGAAAGAGAGAAAGAGACAGAGTAACAGAGAGACAGAAAGAGAGAGACAGAGAAATAGAGAAACAGAGAGACAGAGGTGAGAAGAGGAAAGAAATTGTGCTTTATATTTTATATATTTTTTAAATTTTGCCATTGATTGATGGATTGATTGATTGAGACAGGGTTTCTCTGTGTAGCCCTGGCTGTCCTGGAACTGGCTCTGTAGACCAGGCTGGCCTTGAACTCACAGATCCTCCTGCCTCTGCCTTTCAAGTGTTGGGATTAAGGGCGTGAGCCACTCTGCCTTGCAGCCTTTATTATTTTTATTTGCATTCAGTTATATAATCAATAAATTCATTTTCCAAAAGGAATACAAGTCTAAATTACATCTGATTTATTTTGTACACATGTATGCAGACACATGTTGAGGGCAGAGGACAACTTGGGACTCAGTTCTCTCTTCCAACATGTATGTCCCAGTGTCACCAGGCTTGGTGGCAATCATCTTTAGCAGGTGGGTCATCTTGCAGGCACAGATAAACTCCTTTTATTTCCATAAGCTGGCTTCTTGTTCCTGTTTTCCCCGACAGCCCCAATACTGTGGCATTTGAATGTCTGTTCTGCACATGGGAATGTGCATCTCAGAGTGGTGGCCTGTGTCAGGAGTGTCCCTAGCTGGCAAGTGGCCAGGTCCCAAGAGTTTTGAGGCCATCCCACAAACTGGAAAGAAAGTGCAGCTAAATGTGTGGCCCAGCAGGAGGTATTCAAGTACATGCAGTCACCACACTGCTGTTCATGTCTGGGGACACACATAAGGAGCGTAGCGAATGCCTGGGTAACACAGAAAGGTCAGCGAGCCAACCTTTCAGCTCGCCACAGTTGTGGTGGGGGGTTGGGGGAAAGAAGCTGCCATGGGAGTTTGTGCCATGGCTGTCATTGCTACCTAAGGAAATATACTGAAATGTCGTGGTGAAAGCAGCCATGTCTGACAGGGTCATTGACCTGACTGGCGGGTCCTAGTTATTCGTGGGGGCGAGGAGGACCGCAACCTGAAAGAAGAACGGGCGAGAGAGGGAATGGACTCAAGCAAACAGTTGCTTGTCAAGAGTCATGTATTTGAACTTGAAATGCTTTTTTATAACATGCTTTACAAGGGGAGGGGGTAAGAGGGGCCAGGTGGTGGAAAAGTACAGAATCTTCTCGGCCTGTGCCTTGAAACATGTCATGGTCTATACGGTACACTGCCTTGAATTATGATCTACCTGCTATTCTTCAGAAGATATGGTACACTGCTTTGAGTTATGGTCTCCCTGCTATACACTGCTTGCCAAGCAGGATCTTGTGGTTGCCGCTGCAGGGGACATTGTGCAGGTGGGGAAAGGTAGGGGGTGAGGGTAAGGGCGAGGGTCCTGGCTTCTGGCAGGTCATGAGCATGCATTCTAGATGAGCTCCATGGTCCATGCTCATCTCTGTTCCTTGTGGTGACAGTTGTGCTGGCTCACGGTATGGTATCCACACTTCCAAGATGGCACCTCCCATGGCTGCCTGGAAGGCACTAGCTGCAGGTTCTTTCTGCAGGCCAGCTTGGTGCTAAGTGGGTTAAGGGAAAGGGTCCTGGGGTTCAGGAAGTGGATGCTACTAATTTTTAAAGGCCCAGGCCTCACGAGTAGTCTTGGTCATTGTAGAATTCTTCTGGCCTAGTAGCTCAGTGGTCAGTGGAAAGGCCAAGGCTTCACCTCTCAAGGGTTGTTTAAGAAGCCAGGCAGGCTCCTCAGTGAGTCAACTTTAGAGCCATGAGTGAGCGTGTCAACGGCCTACCCTGCTGTTGTCACTGTCTCCATATGGAGAAGGCCACATCACCCGTTTTGGCTCAGGATGCTGCTCTCTCCTGTGACCCTGAACTGTCATCTTGTTTCCTAGAAGGGGGAGAGTCTCCAGTGACAGCATCCTGTGTGAAGTAGATGAGGGGGAGGTGGTGACCAAAGGCCTTGGTGTGCCAGTTGCAAAGAGAGGTTGTTGAGGGACTGTCGCCGCAACCTGAGTGGAGGCCAGTGGGCATTCACTACAGAGAACTGTCTCTGCCCAGGTCCTTGTGGTCTTTACCATGCCTCTCCCTCCTCAGCCTTAGGGTCAGGGCCTCTCCCGTCTGTCTCTGCACTAGCTTCGCTCCAGGCTTCTATCATCCTAACTGGCCTCGTCAGAGTCTCTACAGCTGCCCTTCCCTGGAGTAATTAGGGACCCCCATTGGTTCCCGAATGCCCCAGGAAGAGTGGCTTTTCAAAACACAAATCCGTTCACATTCAGTCTTCCCCAAACACTGAGAAGACTTCCCACTGCTTCGGGGTCAAGATATCCAACCTTCCTCTTAGGGTACCACGGGCATGTGATCTAGGGGCACTGCCAAAACATTGAAACTTTTCCCACAAAGTAAAGGGGTCCTAGTAAAACATGGCTGGATGGTAGCCATTCCACATGTGGGGGTGGTCTGATCACTTCCTGCTCAGGAATTCTACCAAGTCCCTTATGTCCTCTCCATGTGTCACCAAGCTCTGAAAAGCCACGACTGCTCCTTGGGGGAAAGGGCCGAGATCAGAGAGCAGCAGCAATTTACAAAAGGAAAACTGAAGGGCTAGAGAGATGGCTCGGTGGTTAAGAGCACTGACTGCTCTTCCCCAGATCCCGAGTTCAGCACCCACATGGTGGCTCACAACCGTCTGTAATGAGATCCGATGCCCTCTTATGGGGTGTCTGAAGACAGCTACAGTGTACTTACATATAATAAATAAATAAATAAGCCTTTGGGCTGGAGCCAGAGCAAGAGGGAAAACGGAAGAGGGAAAAAAAGGAGAAAACTGAGGAACATGCTTGCTTGTTCAAGTAGATCATTCCAGTTACTGGGGAAATTGGAGGCAGGAAGACCACAAGTTCAAGGTCAGCCTGGGCTCCAGGACAAAATGTCTCAAAAAAAGAGACGCCTGGCAGACTACCTGGGTGTGATGATTTGCATCTACTCGGCCCAAGGAGTGGCACTATTAGGAAGTGTGGCCCTGCTGGAGTAGGTGAGGCACTGTGGGTGTGGGCTTTAAGACCCTCACCCTAAACCGGGCGGTGGTAGCGCACGCCTTTAATCCCAGCACTTGGGAGGCAGAGGCAGGCGGATTTCTGAGTTCGAGAGTTCGAACTGGTCTACAGAGTGAGTTCCAGGACAGCCAGAGCTATACAGAGAAACCCTGTCTCGAAAAACCAAAAAAAAAAAAAAAGACCCTCACCCTAGCTGCCCGGAAGCCAGTCTTCTGCTAGCAGCCTTCAGATGAAGACCTAGATCTCTCAGCTCTGCCTGCATCAGTGGGTTTGATCCCTGGGATCCGGGTGGTAGAAGGCGAGAACTGATTCACAAATTGTTTTCTGTCATTCCCACAAGGTGTCATGGTTCTCCAACGACCCCCCCACATACACATACACACAGAGTAAATGAACATAACTGTAAAAATCCAGGGCGTCAAGACAAAGAGGGTTGGGGAAATGGCAGGCTTCATAAAGCGCATGTCCTGTAGGCATGCGGAGCGAGCCCCAGAAAGCACAAACCGAGAGTCCCACCCATGGCGGGGAGGGCTTGTGATCCCAGATCTGGGGAAGCGGAGACAAGTGGCTCACTGGGGCTTACTGGACAGTCAGCTTCACCTACCCTGCAAGCTCCAGGTCCCATTGAGAGACCCTGGCTTAAAACACAAGGTGGGCGGCCGCTGAAGGACGGTGCATGCCATGCGCATGCGCAAGCATCAGCATCCTGGTTCTGAGCTCTGCTTCTGATTAATCTCTGGTTGAGACCCAATCGGGTCAGCACGTGGACCGTCCTTCAGCCCTTCAGTGCTGGCTAGTGTTGCCACTCCACCGTTTTCCCACCCACCCACTCATCTGCTTGATGGTTGAACTAAATACATTTGGAATCTTGGGATGAAGGAGACGGCAACGCCAGGGGTGAAAGGGAGGTAAGGAGGATGTTAGGGTGACATTCTGTGAATGATGTCACCATTACTCTATCTGTTTTCCCGTGCGGTCAGGCATTCATGTTCGGAAGTCTCACAACTACAGAGTTTTAAAATCTGGGCCCAGTTGAGGTGTGGTGGGAGGAGGAGGTAGTGCATCTCTCTAAGAGTTTCTGGTCAGTACCTCTTTGTTTCTCTGGGCTTAGTTTCTGTAGCTTCCCTGATACGACCTAGCTTTATTTAGAGCCATGTGTCTGCGTCAGTTGGAATTTCAGATCTTTATGTTGG